TAACCTCTGCAGTAACTTTGTTTCTACACCTCACATATTCCTGACGAGATTCTATATCTCTTCTATTCTGAAAAACATTCCATGCTTTATGCTTTCGTTTAATTGCTTTTTCCACATCCCTATTCATCAACGGTTTTCTATTATTAGAAGTCCTGGATCTTAATGGGACAAATTTAACAGTACATTCTTGAATAGTACTTTCAATAAGTAAGGCTAATTCCTGAACGCTTAAAGACCTGCAATACTGCATTAAATCCAACTCTTCAATATATTTTCTCATACCATCATAATCCCCTTTGTAGTAATTTCTTACCACAGGAGGGTCTTCTACATAATAATCACAATCAATCTCAAACGTTAACACAACAAGATCACTGCGACCTAATGGTGGGGTACATTTTAAATTTATAATTAGACTCTCATCATTGGAGAAGACTAAATCTAATGTGCTGGGTTCATTATCATTTCGAAATCTAGTAGCAATCTTACAATGTTGAAACCAAAAAAGATCATCAGTACACTCAAGAAAATCTCTAGAATGTTTTTCCATAGGAACCTCCATTGTTTCCCAATTAATAAACTTGTAATTAAAATCACCAACCACTACTACATGGTCAACATTGAAATCATCAGCCTTCTTTAGTAATTCCAAAAGTAACAGATTATTATTATTCGAACTATTTGGACTTCGATAAACACAACCAATTAAAATACTCTCATTAACACGAAGGTTCACTTTGACCCACACCGACTCCACAAACTCATTAAAACAAACTTCCGAAACAGAAATACCTTCCCTAACAAATAATCCAGTTCCGCGAGAACAATTAGGAGAAACAAATAACTGGAAGCCCTTGATACACAAATTAACAAAATCCACAGTCGTAGCCACATTCTTTGGCAACATTTCTGTTAACAGAATGAAATCAGGATTATCTAGATTAACTCGAGCAATTAATTCTTCTTTTTTGTTAAGCATTGAATCACAATTCGTATACATGCATTTAAAACAATTTGGGTTTCCTTTCTTCTTTACTAAATTATATTTTTTATCTTCATTGATATTCCTAAAAACGCGAAATTTTCTTCTTCACTACACGACCTCCACGAATCATTAAATCTTCTTCACCTTGTTCAACGCGAGTATTCAGTTCCGCTCTGAGTTTGTTATACTCGTCCCTTTCCTCTTTAGTCCTATCATGTGTAACCACAATGCCTTCCACTGCTTTCACTCTCGCATCGTTCAAGAAATTTCTCTTAGCTTCTTCGCCAAAAAAGACAAGTCTAAGGGGCCGAATTTTTCCTTCCGACTTTCTCCCAACTCTATGAAAAAATTTAATAACTATTTCTTCATGCATCAAACTTTTTATAAAACTTTCATCTAATTTCTTCCTTTCAGTAATATCCTGACTATCACTTTCTCCAAATCCAAAAATCATAACATTGTTTTTCCTAACCAAACGTTCATTCATATCTTTTAACTTTTTATCCACAAATGCTACGACCTCCTCATTAATTTTCTGAACATCCATCTTATGAGTTTTGTCAGTCAAAATTTTTATTTGATCTTGATTTGATTTAACATCTTTCTTCATCTCATCAATATCAGACTGCATCTTCCCTTGGCCCTCTTTAATATCTCCAAGCAAGGACATAATTTTATTAGCTGAAGTAGAGCATGTTCTACAGTACCAAAAAACACTGGGATCATCATGCATTAACCAATTATATTTAGCTTTAGATATTTGTTGACAGTCACAATGAAACCAGAACTGACACATTCCACAGCATGTAGCCCTATCGCTATCCAGTACAGGACTATTACATGACCCACACTTATGCTTAGGTTCAGAGACCTTTTTAGATGCTGATTGCTGCTTACTGGTAGCCATTTCTGACTATAAACAGGCCTAGCAAAAAAAACGATTTCTAAGTGCAATAAAAAATACAATTATGTAATAAATCACAAGATTATAAAGTTAAACTACCCTGACTTTTCACAAAAAACTTCAAAAAGTGAACTAATACTTAGTCTGAAGACGAATTTAGTGAAAAAACTCCAACAATTAATAGAGAAAATTTTAACACGCCTGGTCTGGCCAACAGCGCCCTCTTTTGAATGATAGGAAAGGTTCACACCGATGCCTATTCATTTTTTGTTTATTTGAGTAATGAAACTATAAAACTCGAATTGTACATGGTTAAAAACATCTTTGTATACGTACACGGTATTGTCAACAAACACTCCATAAAACAGGTTAAAATTGTTCAGATCGTCGGAGCATGGATTTATTATTAAGTGAACTATATAGTACCCCGAAACCTTGACTCAGAAATACCGGGATTGTGTCCGGCAGGGATAGTTTTACCTCAAGAGTCAAAAATTAATTATCTCATCATTTAAAATTGTTACAAGTTAAATGCTTCCAATGTAATTCCTTACATCTCATTTTTATATTTTCATACATTGTCATAGGCACACTTAATTTTTTTTATTGTAATCACAATTTGTGAATTCAAATGTGATTTTGTAAAACAAATTGAAATCGAAATCGAGTGGTTTTGATGAGGCATATAATTATTCTACAAATATACGTTCATATGAGGTTGTTTTAACACAAAACTAGGTTACGTTATTATCAGAGAACAGTGAATTTAACTGTTCCCTGGTTATTATAGCGATTTTTTTAATAACGTTACATAAACGTAATGAATGAACCGTATATTTTATAGACTATACGTTATAAATACATAAATACTAAATATTTTTGTACAAAAATACGTTCTTGGAACGTTATATAAGACAGTTTTTACACCAATTAAGTTATTATAATTTTTTTTAAACGTTATTTTCAAACGTTTTTATATAGTTGTTAATAACGTTATATGAAAGTTATATTCAAACGTTATATTTTAAGTTATATGTACGTATATATGGTTCTACAAATGTACGTTCGTACAACGTTATATAAGAACGTTCTTAAGACAAAAATGTAACGCGATTATAACGTTATTATAACTCTCATTAATATATGTTTATTTCCTTTATTTGTTTTTTTTTTAAATTATTATTTACGCATCTTTCCGTTTTAACCACTTTTCTGTATAGAAAGCGTAGAGTCAAATGTATTATGCACTGTACCGGTGTAAGCCATTGAAACATTGACCATTTTGAAAAAAAAAATATCTTATCAAAAGACACATATTGCATTCATCTGGAAAAATAAATTGCTATCTGTGGAAAATTATTTTTTAAAAGATACCTATAGGTATATCTATACTCAATATTTTAGCTCTGCCTCAACAGTATGATTGTAATACATGTTGCTGTGAATTTCAATATGAAACTCACATGTAGGCCGATATAATCTACTTCTTATACCCATAACCTATGTACGGTGTTGGGAATTGACACGTGTCATTCCTTTATTGCACAAGTTATGTTTTAGCTTATGATAGCGATCCTCATTTTTTTGCATTGCTTGATTACATTAGTGTAATTAACCTCCACTTACTTAAGAATTGGTTACCTCCAGTGTTTATCTCTTGATTTAAAGGTGCATTTTTGATTTCAGCAAAATAATGTTTAAATCCTCAGGGAAAATATTTATTATTGTAACTGGTCAGAATGCTAAACTTTCAGAACCTAAATGAACCTCTTTGCAAATCCACGTAGGCCTACGCCCAGTCGAATGATTTTTTTCGTCACAATATCCGCACCAAAATGTCAAAAATGACGCATAGGATTATGCAGAAATAAGTTTGTGTTGGCTGAGCCTGACCAAGCCAAAATATCGGAAATCTAGAATCAGATTTGATATATATATTTATACACATCTAGATGTGTATAAGAGACAGGTACATGGTTAAAAACATCTTTGTATACGTACACGGTATTGTCAACAAACACTCCATAAAACAGGTTAAAATTGTTCAGATCGTCGGAGCATGGATTTATTATTAAGTGAACTACTTACCGTATGAAAATACTGTATGTTCTGAAAAGCGCAAACGCTAAAATATAGGTCAAAATTGAATACCGGTACTTTACTCTAAATTTAAAATAGGTCTTACTGACATTTTATACACACGCTTTTACGTTTATGAAAAAGGCTTTTCTTCTTTTTATTTTTATTTTATTTTATTTGATATCTCAACCACATTAATGTAAATTTGAATTAACGGTTAGTCATGAACCAAAATTTCTATTTAGTCTTATAGTAAATATATAGCAACTTATCCTCATTTATTGTTATGTATTTTAGGCTTACCGTATGAAAATACTGTATGTTCTGAAAAGCGCAAACGCTAAAATATAGGTCAAAATTGAATACCGGTACTTTACTCTAAATTTAAAATAGGTCTTACTGACATTTTATACACACGCTTTTACGACTTGTAATGTTGGTAAATAAGTATTATTCACATAATGATAATAAATACTTACTTTGAATCTAATTCCATTTAACAAAACACAATACTAATTGAAAATGGATGTACCACTGTCACGTCATATTTCGGCGAATTGAACAGGATCATGAATCTAAGAAAAAGTGTTTCTCACCGTACCGTGTGGTCATAAGCTGATGAAAAGGCCTATGTTGAATTCGCTATCTATTTGTTGTATATAATTCTACCAGCGCCTCGCGCGTCTTATTATAATTAGCTTGCAGCTAGAGGCAGTATTTACCGTCTTGCAATGCATTATCATTTAAGTTGTCATTGTATGTTGTGAATGGTTGTAGACACAGCACTCTTCTTTACAATAGTTGATTAAAAACATCACAATCCACTGCTGATGAAAAGAAGTAATTGATGTCATGACAACGAATAACAATGTCCACAACTTAACAATAGCCGGAGCAACAGGCAGGTAATTATGCAACAGGTTTGATCCACAGTCGCTGCTCATTTGCTTTATATTTGATGAGCTGTACATTTTACTATACCCATATTAAATAAAAACGATTAGGCCTAAAAGTAAAAACAGTATTTGAAAAAAACATAATATACATAAATCGGTAAATTATCTCATTTCATTACTTAACATTGCATGATTTGTTGCAACAAGGTTATCACTAGAATTATTTTGAATATAAGTAGTGGTGGTGGTGGTGGTACTGATAGTTGTTGTTGTAGTAGTATTGGTAGTAGTAGTGGTGGTGGTGGTGGCGGTGGGGGTGGTGGTGGCGGTGACAGTGGCGGCGGTAGTAGTAGTAGATAACGGTTAAGAATCGAAACTGATCGCTCTGGAAAACATCACCAAAGTCTTCATCTCATAAAGTGAATATAATTCCATATGTTCAGCTTTGAGGGAAAAGCCATGACTTTACTGTGGATATTTAGTCGGGGTTGTAGCTGCTTTGAACACGTTGCATTGTTTACACAGTCACCTAGATTCTTTAAATTTGACTATATAATAAGGCCATGTTAAAAAAAAATAAGTTGTTGATCGTCACCTTCCTACATAAAAAAATATTACCCAACCAAAGGCCCTGTATAAAGAAATAAGTTGTTCATAACCTCCCGCCTACCGATCTTTTTTTTTTTACATGGCCTCAGTTTCAACACATTTCAACATTTCAATGTTATTTGCTGTCCTCATAATTCATCATTTTGTGACAGCAATGCAGACGCCATGACCTCAAAGACTTTAGGATATATAAATATAGTTGCAGCATATTAACATAAAGTGTCTAATCTATGTAGAAACTTCCTATTTCGATATACAGTAATATCGTCAATATTTCACAAATATATCATTGCTAAAAGAAATGTACATTAATTAGTAAGGGCCTATAATCGCTTTACTTCATTTATCCCACCTAAGCATATCCCTACCATCAACACAGATATGACTATTAAAGGCAGGGACACAGTATATGCATAACGTTCACCACCACATTTATTTAGGAGAAATACTGTAACCTGAACCGTTTTTATATATATATCGTACACAAGAAAACCAAACAAAAACACCAAAACGTGACTTGTGTCCTTGAGCAAGACACTTTATCTGCATCGCTTCTCTCCACCCAGGAGTATAAATTGGTATCTGGTTGGGTTGCCTGCTCCTGCGCTGATTACCAGCAGCAACACTCAGCATGTGGACCCAATGACCAGGGAAAAGAACTGCACATTATAACCGCAAGGAAGAGGCGCATTATAAACGCTCATACCAGTACCAGAGCATACCCACACACACACACACACACACACACACATCCACACACCCATAATCTACTTTGAGATATGTGTTTTGAATGATCCATATAATCGACACCAAAATATAATCACTTCACTTTTCCAAAGCCTTTTATTGTATCAGCCCTTTTCCAAAGCCTTTTATTGTATCAGTTCATAACCTCCCGCCTACCGATCTTTTTTTTTTTTACATGGCCTCAGTTTCAACAAATTTCAACATTTCAATGTCATTTGCTGTCCTCATAATTCATCATTTTGTGACAGCAATGCAGACGCCATGACCTCAAAGACTTTAGGATATATAAATATAGTTGCAGCATATTAACATAAAGTGTCTAATCTATGTAGAAACTTCCTATTTCGATATACAGTAATATCGTCAATATTTCACAAATATATCATTGCTATAAGAAATGTACATTAATTAGTAAGGGCCTATAATCGCTTTACTTCATTTATCCCACCTAAGCATATCCCTACCATCAACACAGATATGACTATTAAAGGCAGGGACACAGTATATGCATAACGTTCACCACCACATTTATTTAGAAAGAGAAATACTGTAACCTGAACCTGCCAATTCCTGACATGTTCGGCAATTCCTTGCAATTTTTACCCTTATAGCTGACAAACAAAATGCATGCAAGGTATTGATGTTGAATTGGAAATATTTTGGAAATAGAAAAACGAGGATTTGGTTTTTAGCGTCACATGTTTAAATGTAAAAATGAATTAAAAATATTCCCAATAAGTTCTGAAAAAAAGTCAAATTAGTACATATAAAATGCGGTACATATTTACTGTAACTGCACTTATTTAAACACTCATTTTATAGCTATTCTATCTGCCTACGGTAATAAGGTAAACTAATTATTTAAATGGTCCTCATATTCACACCCTAATTCGGATGACAAACTATTTTGCCAATTGTACTTTTTATCCATTGATAAATTTCCAGATATTTAGGTCTGGGACCTTTTGGCCTTCAAATACACAGCCGAATTTGGTTCTTGTACCTTAGTTAGGCTTTCACGAAAGTTTAATTTGTATCAGTTGAATAGTTTTTGAAATATTTGGTCTGGGACGTTTTCCCTTAAATGGTCCTAATATCCACACCCTACTCCTGATGGTCACCACAATTTAAACATTCTTCATTGCAAAACTACTCTGGGTAGTGTATATTTAGAGCTATTGATTGTCCTTAGAGATATTTAGGTCTAGAAACTTAGGATTTTAAATGACCCTCAAATGCACACCCGAATTTGGATCGTCACCAACACTGCATATTTTCTTTCTTGTAAGTGGCTTAAACTTTCACGAAAGTTTTATTCAGAAAAGTTGATTATGTGTTGTACGTTTTCCTTAAAATGGTTCTCATATCCACACTCTACGCCGGATGGTCACCAAAATACCTAACATACCCTGTATCTTCCATTTGATATCTGTGCAGCTGTTTTTGAGATATTTTGAACACAAGAAACATGCACGGCCTTAAATGACCCTCAAGTTCATCCCCTTATTTGGATCGTGACCAACACTTGATAATTTCTTTCTTGTAACTTGGTTAAACTTTTACGAAAGTTTCATTCATTACTAATATCCACACCCTACTCCCGATGGTCACCACAATTTAAACATTCTTCATTGCAAAACTATTCTGGGTAGTGTATATTTAGAGCCATTGATTATCCTTAGAGATATTTAGGTCAAGAAACTTAGGATTTTAAATGACCCTCAAATGCACACCCGAATTTGGATCGTCACCAACACTGCATATTTTCTTTCTTGTAAGTGGCTTAAACTTTCACGAAAGTTTTATTCAGAAAAGTTGATTATGTGTTGTACGTTTTCCTTAAAATGGTTCTCATATCCACACTCTACGCCGGATGGTCACCAAAATATCTAACATACCCTGTATCTTCCATTTGATATCTGTGCAGATCTTTTTGAGATATTTTGAACACAAGAAACATGCACGGCCTTAAATGACCCTCAAGTTCATTCCCTTATTTGGATCGTGACCAACACTTGATAATTTCTTTCTTGTAACTTGGTTAAACTTTTACGAAAGTTTCATTCATATCATTTGATTAGTTTTTATGATTTCTTGTCTGGGAAGTTTGCTCTAAAATCCATTTAAATGGTCCTCACATCTACACAATACTCCGGACCGTCACCAAAATTTCATTTTTTTCTTCAATGGGTTATACCTAACAACTCCCTGTATTTTTTTATTATATTTGTGTAGCCGTTTTTGAGATATGTCGTACACAAGAAAACAACACGAAAACACGAAAATGTGACACACACACAAACTTACACAAATAAAAACATTATCTGGTGGAGGAGATAATAACAAGAACACTCAGTAGAGAGCATATCTCCGTCCACCGCCAATCTCTTTCTATAAAAAAAAAATCCACAAAGATATGTTCCTACTTTCCAACCACCAACCACAATCTACCTTAAGAGAATTACACTAACACGAAAATTTCATTTAGATGAGTTATTTAGTTTTGAGATATCTGATAGGCGACATTTTGCTTTGAATGGTCCATAATCAACACCAAAGTATAATCATAGACACTTTACTTTTCGAAAACGCCTTTTATTGTATCAGTTGTACACGTGCAAATTCCTGACATGTTCTGGCTTAACTTACTGGCAAGTTTACTCTTATAGCTGACAAACAAAATACATGCAATATATTGGTGTTGAAATGGAAATATATTGGAAATAGAAAATCACATGTGTAAATTTAAAGGTGAATTAAAAATATTGCGTGTAAGTTAGTACATGTAAAACGATGTAAACTTTTACTGCAATTGCATTAATTTAAGTATTCATCATTATAGCTATTGTTTCTGCCTACGTTAATAGTGTAAACTTATTCTTTAAATGGTCCTTATATCCACATCCTAGTTCGGATCGTGGCCAAAATTGACACACTTATTTATTTAAACAAAACAAACTATTTCTTGGCCTTTTGGTCCTCAAATGCACAGTTGAATTTGGTTAAATCCTTTGATATTTGTCTGTAATTAGTGAAGGTATCGGGATTCAATTTATGATTTAAGAATTTGAGTTATATTTGCAGTCTTTAACATAGATGGAATTATTACCTTTATAGTTAAACTTAAGTTCACAATACGTGTAATGACTGGTAATAAAACAAGGATGGATTTTTTTTTCAGAAGTGAGGTAGGTAGACGATCAAGATCACTAGACTTTTAGAGCATAGTATTAACCTCCAAACTTCATCTTGATCAACAGATTGCCAACTGATAAGAGAAGAATTACAAGGATTTTGTTAGAGAGCAGAAAAAACGGATATACATTGGGAATTTGTTTCTTCGATGGACACTATGCTAGCGCAACGATCTGATAACTTCTTAGCAAAGAACTCAACAAACAAGTTTATCTTCATTGATTACGAGTACCAGTTTAGGTTTGATCTAAAATATCATGAA